CAGGTTGAATAGAGGCTTTGTGCTAAGTGAGACAAAGATGGCGTGCTAGGCGAAGGCACAGTGTGAGCACAGTTCAAGGGAGCTGAGCTGCATGCAGAGAAAAATCCCAGCAAGCGGGGTGGAAAGGAGCAAGGATTAAGGCACTGAAGGGCTACAAGAGGGATTTGATGACTTCCTCGATGACATGAGAGGTTATATCAGAAATCTCACAGTACAGGTGTTCCTTAGCTCTGTGGTGATGAGCCCACGTGCCAGAATACGGTTTAGAAACCCTAGTATAAGGAGAACAAGAAACACAGGACTGTGACTTCAGAGTGGAGAGAGGAAAGGAAGAGGATTTAGGTGAAAAACATCATCTGGTTTTAGGTGTATCAAAGAGTTTGATCAACCAGCATGACCCAACTCTCTTCTGAGGAGGCAGCTACAGAGCATGTGAAGCAGCTGAACCACTGTGTGGCTACCAGTGTGTCCACGCAAGTCAGCCAGGATCTGTTAGCAGCCTGCCGGGCAGCGTTCCATCCAGAAGAAACGGCTGCTCCCAGTCTAGTCCTTACCAGTCCTACTGAAAACAAACAGGAGCAGCAACAACGACAACAAACACCTGCACTTCATTCAGGACCATAGTCCAGTTTTCCCAGGCATGGGAAAATGGCCCAAAGAATAAAAAGAAGCCAATAAGAAAAAAAACTACCAGAAGTAGGGCTGGAGAAATAGAAAACTATCAGAAATGACACTCAGCAGTTAAAAGAACTGACTGCTCTTCCAGAGGAGCTGGGTTCGATTCCCAGCACCCACATGGCAGCTCACAACTGTCTGTGACTCCAGTTCCAGGGCACCCAACATCTCATACAGACATGCATGTAAGCAAAACACCAATGTACATAAATAAAAATATTAAACTATCAGAAATAATAAGATAACTAGTTACAAGATACATATGAAGCACACATGCCTATGTAAACCAGCAAAAACAATCTAGAGATGATATAGGTGGAGAGTTCCCAGAATAATAAACTTTACATAAATATAACAGCCACATACACACGTTACTATTTAATGCCCTAAGAATAAATAAGTATAAATACACATGAAATTAACAGCAAATCCTTAGTTTTAAAAAAATAAAAAATAAAGTAAGTCATCACTGAATGAAGCAGTCCTGATTCCCCATGACAACGATGTCCATCACTGTCCACCTCCTTGAACATTAGTGCAATTCCAAACAAAATCTCAAGAGTTTTGCTGTTGTTGTTTTTTTAACATGATAAAATTACTCACGTACATCTTTAAGAAAAATGTGCATCATTTTTTCAAATAAAATGAAGAAAATCAGGACTTTGGATCAGTATTACAGGAACTAAGATGAGCAGTGAGTGGCCCCATCATCAACCCAAAAACACAGCAGAACATCCAGAAAACTCTCCAGTTCACAGAAAAAGCTTCGCGGTGGGAAGAGCGGCATTTACATCTACAAAGTAGAAAACTGGAAATCACCAGATGGCCATGACTAAATATTTGGGGAAAACAGACCCCTATTCCCACGCCTTATGCAAAGCCAAGACTATGTTTTGAAGTTGTGTGCAGTTAGTCAAGTCACAAGCTAACTACACAGGAGGTCTTTGAATAGATGACCTTGATCCAAAAGCAGAGATAAGACTGTAAAAATAAAATAAATGGAGATAAGTTGTTAAAACAACAAAAATTTCAAAACAGATATTAAGAAAATATGTGCAAAACGAAGATTTCTAGTGGACATAAGACACCCACAAGGCCACCTAGTCAAGGAGCAAGTCTTGTAAAGTCCGACAAGAACTGCTAAGGGTGATCAATCACGTACAACACACAAGGGTGATCAATCAGTACAATGCACAACTGCAACAGCCTTGAGAGACTTGGAAATTAAAAATAACAAAAGAGGACATTTACAAAATAAAAGGGAGTGACAGTAGCAAGTGCTGGCGAGGTTGCAAGAAAACTTCCACTCCAGAGGCCCGGTTGGCAAAGGGTGTCAAAGCCTGCAGTGTGTTCCCCTCCATCCAGTTTGATAAGGAAAGGTAACAAGTCAAAAGCAACACACACACACATGTGTCTCTCGCACAGACACACATACGTTCGCACACCCTCCCATACATCAAGGGTCACACGGTCACAGCCACACTCGCTCATATATGCTCACACACTCACACACACTCACAGGTATATACACACGTATGTCCACTTTCATCCAGACTCATACTTAGATTCACATATCCATACTCACACCTATACTCACACATATGCCCACACATGTGCACGCACACACACACACTTACGTAGATGTGAGCAGGTTGATTTGTGCTATTTTACAGTCGCCTGGAGAAGTGTTCACACGATCAAGGAAAAGAAGCAGTGTGAAGATGTTGGACCCCTTCAGGACGTGTATCTGTGTCCATTCACAAGCAGGAGATTTCCTCCCCAGCTATTACTTCCTGTGGAAAGCCCCATCATTTCCTTTCTTTTGTTTACCTAAATTTCCCTCAGTGATGATAAGGCCACTTTCTTTTTTATTTCTTCTTTTGAGACAAATTTCACTATGTAGCCCTCACGGAGAAACTCACAGAGATCTGTCTCTGCCTCCTGAGCACTAGACCTAAAGGTGTGCATCACGCGCCTGGCATAGAGAACCTATCTAATGAGACATCATCGCAAAAGCTTAATATTTTAGGCCACCAAATATGATGCGCCCTATTTTGCTGTAAAGCATATAGAGTTCAATTTAATATGTTAAACTTATTAAAACTACAAGACAAAAAACAAAATATTTTGCAAAAATGTTACTTTGTATACATGTAGTTTAAACATTGGCAAATAAATCTTTTTAATTTAGTTTTTAAGTTTTGCATACAATGTATTTTGGTCATATTCATTTCTCCCAAACTCTTCCCAGATCCCCACCTACCTACCCAACATCATATTCTTTCTCACTCTTGAAAAACAAAAGCAAATCACACACACACACAAACACACACACACACACAAAACAAAACAACAAAAACCCTCTTGAGCATGTAGGAGGGGTGGGCTTAAAAAGTCAGGTTTATGACAGTACACAGGCTTAAGCAAAGGCTTGGTCCTTCCAAAGGAACGAATGAGGATTTGGATTTGGAAAGCTATATATAAATGCTGAAAGCAAACATTACATCCTCTGTCCAAAGAGAATCCAAGGTCTTTAGGACCAGGCACAGGCGGACACAGAGAGGCTCCTTTACTGGGTCAATTAGAGCCATCAGCAAAGTAATTAATGTTAGCAGCAGGACAGAGCTGCAAGAAACAAGCACACACACTAGGAAGTGCTCATCCACATATGAGACCCTGGAGTGTAACTCTCCTTCACTCATTTGATTAATTGAGGAAGTCTGAATGAGACAGCGCAAAGATGAGAATTCAACAATTAAGAGAAACGAAAGATTAATTTATAACAAAATATTTCCATTCTTTAACGTTTATTAGAAAATCCATTAGGCGAAGGCCAACTATTTTTTGTAGGTGTAAGAATGGATGCGTGTGTGTGTATGTGTGTGTGGTGTGTGCATGTGTGTGTGTATATGTGTGTGGTGTGTATGTACATGTATATTTTGTATGTGTGTGGTATGTGTCTGGATCTCTAAATGTGTGTGGTGTGCATGTGTGTGTATGTGCATGTGTGTGTATACATGCATGTAAAGTCAATACTGAGTGTCTTCCTCAGTTGCTCCCCACCTTAGTTTTTGAGACAGGATCCATTATAGAACCTGGAGCTCACTGATTGGTTAGACTGACTGATCAGCAAGTCCAAGGGACCCTTCTGTTTCTGCCTCCCCGGAGCTAGGGATGCAGGCACACTCCTTCCCTTGGTCTTCATACAGGGGTGTTGGGAATCCAGCCCCAGGCTTACACAGCAAGCACTGTGCAATCTAAGCCATCTCTCCAGCCTCTACTTTGCAGCTTTGCACTAATAGTTAAGAAGGAAGGTTTCTGTAGAGCGTCCACAGCTGTCTTCCTAACTAGGGGACGTAGCCCTTGATTTCTGCTGGCGCCCAGCAACTTTATTCTCAGTTCCACAGCTGAACTGAGAATAAAATGTCCACAGACAAACTCTCAAGACACATGAACTAAGACTGAATTTGCACAGCCCAACACAGGAAAACATAATTTGAAGTCCATGTGCTAAACAGAAGACAGCATTCTGCCCAACCATGGAATCCCTGTGTATGCACCAGAGACATGTGGGCAGTATATCCAAAGTCCTCCCGAAATTAAGGAAGGAACTACCACAATGGTGCAGTCAGAGAGATGCTTTTTCCATAACAGCAAACCACTGTGACAAATAGCACAACATAGCAAAGAAGGAAGAGAAGAGGATATAAGAACAAAAGAGTAACCTTCAACAGCTTCTTCATGAAACACAGAATTACTACCACACAAATAGCACACTGTTTTTAACTATCATTTAGGAAAATGGCCTTCAGGCAATTCTAACCTTGGAGCACAACCATAGCATCAAAAAAAAAGATTATTCACTGACCTTGAACTGCTTTTTAAAAATTTATAATTTACCTAGGGTACGGCTGATTTCTCTAAAGGCAATATTCATTCTCCCAGATGGGACATTTTAAAATATTAGTAAGGCCAACAGGCTTGGGAAGAAAATTAAGGAATTTTCTAGAAACATAACCATTTTTGTGTAACTTCTTTCAGAACAACCCTCTCCTCTTGATGATGACTTTGAAACTTAGCATCATTTCTCAACTTGCTACCTGGGCATCTTTGGGTTTACTGTTTAGCCTTGGTACCTTGGTCCCAGAAGAAAGCCTTCACTAGACACTTCCTGGAGCTGTCTCTAAGATCTAGGAGAAGTCTCTCACACTGTGGAGCTACTTTATCCCTTGCAAAAAAATAAAATAAAATAAAAAAATAAAACCAGGAACCCTGGATTACTGGATGCTTAAAGAAACCTCCAACTCTCAAACAGCGCCTGTGCGATGTCTTCACCTCCGGCCTTGACAGGAGGACTCCGAGGGAGCTCGTCGGCTGCGGGTACTCTTCTTAGAGACTGTGGAACCCACAGAAGGTAGCACCCGCGGCAGAAGTAGACCTCACAGGGAAGGTGTGGTCTCCTGCTTCCTGTTTCCTCAGGATGTTAAGACCCTTTGGCACACACTCCCACCACCATGAAGCTGCTCCACTGCGCCTTCTTCGTCAAGACAGAATTGAACCTTTTGAAACCATGAACCAAAACCAAACCTCCTTCCTTTAAGACATTTCTGTCAGTGACCCAGGAGTAGGTAACACACCCCCTAAAAGGAAAGGATGCTAATATCTGCGGCATACACAGTCCATCTAGAAGGTGCACTCTTTGTCAGGTAATCAGCTGTGGGAACACTGAGATGCCTGTAGGCCAATCTTCTCCACGAAATGCTGGGAAACAGCTCCATTCTTATTATCTCCACACTGGGGAAAACTGCGTACACTTTCCCTAACTCTACACATTTCTACACATCTCAACCAAAAGAGAATGCCTCCATTTTCGAGATATTCAAGATATTATCTGATATTGTTTCTACAGATCTGATTAATAATTAACAAAAAAAAAAACCCTCTCTTACACAGAAACTAATCTGAAGGCCAAGGATCAAGAGCGGCCAAAGTTACATTTGTGTTAACCAATCTAAACAGTCTGCAAAACCATCACTTCACTGTGACAAAAATAAATCCAAAACTCCATGATCGCATTAACATGCTTTATCATAAAAATGCTAAAAACCAGGGCTAACAGGGAGAAATCAGTGCCCATCCTGCAACTATCTTATAATTAGCAAATTGGAGAGCAATTAATGTCACTTTGAGAGACGTGTATAAAATAGTGATTAGAGGTGAGTAATTTAATCTATTCCAGTCTAATTATAGAGTCTAGACATTTTGCATACTATTAAAACTGGATTTTTATCTCTTAAAAGCTATTTAGAGCATTGTTTGTGCATGACATTGTAAAAATGTATCCTAAGATCACTTTCAGTACTTTAGAGGTAAACAAACATTCCTTCCATCCTGGTATAGATGTGGTCTGTCAGCTACACAGTGAAGGCACTAGTGGCTTTTAAAACGCAGAACAGATCTATAGGTCAGAGCCTGAAACAATCTCTCTACATGGGCTTTCTCCCACAGCCAGACAACTCTCACTGTGTGCTCTTAAAATTTCAGTCTAGGTCAACAATCTTACATTCACAAAGTGACTCTCGATATTTGGATCAAAAGCAAAACCTTTGTAAGATTCCAGAAGCTGGCAAATCCCAGAGAGACTGACATAGAAAAGAAAAGTAAAAAAAAAAAAAAAAAAAGTTCTTCTATTTGGGCCTTCCAGGGGATATATATTTATAGTTTAATTTTAAAACCAATGCTTTTAGTGCCCTGGTAGGAACTAGCATTAACTGTATATGATCCACAGCGATACATTTACTAAGCATTAATACAGGTCTCAGACCCATAAGAGATTAGAACTAGAGACAACAGAGAAATAGATGAGCTCTAAATTATCTGATTCACATCTAGGAGGCCACATCAAAAGGACAACTCACGATAGAGCAGAAAGCACCATGAGTGATTTCATGGGGAAAAATGAGAAGCTAGTAGATTCAAAATTCTGGACCTAGACAATAGTCAAGACGTGCAATGTCTACAGAGGCCGAGAACATGGCAAATGGTGCCCACGAGGAAAGCATGGAGGCTCCTTGAAAACATCATCCCATGGCAAGTGCGCCTACCATAGTGCCTCTAGATAACGTCATGACCGTGGAGACCTCGTGATGGGACTGATGCTCCCTTTTCAGGGGTCACCACCCAGCTCCCAAACACACACACACACACACACACACACACACACACACACACACACACACACGGGGCTTATTGGCTTATTCTTCCTTAGAAAGCCCACCCTTAGCTTGGCTTGTTTATAGCCAGCTTTTTTTAACTTAAATTATCCTATCTACTTTTTGCCTCTAGGCTTTTACCTTTTTTTATTCTATATTCCTTTCTCTTTTTTCTTACTCTGTGGCTGGCTGGCAGTGTGGCTGGGTGGCTGGCCCTTGGCCTCCTCTCCTCTTTTTCTCACCTCTCTCTTTTCTTCTCTCTTCTCTCTTGAGTCTATGTTTCTCTTCCTACTTATTTTCTCTGTCTAGCAACCCCCCATCCCTCTCTCCTGCCTAGTTATCAGTCATTCACCTCTTTATTAGGTGTTTTAGGCAGGCGAAGTTAAACAAATGCAGCACATCTTTGCATCATTAAACAAATATTTCGCAGCATAAATGAGTGTAACACATCTTAAACTAATATTCCACAACAGTCTTTTAAGCAGAAATGAGCACAGCATGGATCGTGAGTAAGGGCCTAAGTCTTCTGACCATCACAAAGAAGGAGAAAATGAAGCAGGAGGGGAGAAAGACACCAGAGAGTGTACTTGCTATTTTCTCAGTGCAATGTGAGGACCCAGCAAGACATTCTTGAGCTAGCCAAGATGAGGGACTCGCCAGCAACTAAGCCTGTCAGGTAGTTAAGTGCTCAGTTTATGTCATAGTGTCAGCATGAACCTAAGTAGATAAAAACAACAGGTAAGCCTCTTCTTAATCCTAGACAAGATCTGTAATAGAATATTAAAAATAAACATAAACCTATTTTACCATTATTACTGAAAATTCTATTGTTATCACTTTAAAAAAATTAGATATAGTTTATTTTATGTGTATGAGTGTTTTACCTGCGTGTATATATGTGCACCATGTATATGCCTGGTGCCCAGAGAAGTCAGAAAAGGGGGGTCAGATCCCCTACCGCAGGAGTTAGGGATGACTGTGAGTCACTTGGTGGATACTGGGAACTAAACCTGAGTCCCCTGCAACTCCCGCTGTTACCACATTTTGTAAGAAGGCTATTTGTTTGTTTTATGGGTTTTGTTTGTTTTGTGAGTTTTTTGCTTGTTTGTTTGTTTGGGGGTAAAAATTTCCAAATCTACTACCTAATCTTCAGAATGAGAAGTTATCACAGGAAGACGAGGGTGGTGGAGGACGCATGGCAATGAGGGACACAAGGAGGATATCTAAGATACTGACCCTGCGTGTCTACCAGAGGGATGAATATGGAGGGATGTGCATTTATCGTGCAGTGATTATTTTTTTTTAGGCAAAGTCTAGCATTTCAGGCTGGCTTCAAACTTGCTATGTATCCAAGGATGACCTTTAACTTCAGATCTTGGCTCTGCCTGCAGAGTGCTCTGGCTGCAGGTATTAGCCACCATGTCCATGTGATGCTGGCGGTCAAATCCTAGGCCTTCGCGCCTGCCAAATAAGCTTTCTGTCCCCTGGTCAAGGGAAGAAATCCAAAATATCTACAGTTAACAGAAACAGAAAGGCTTAGTCTAATTCTGACATTAAAAATTTAGACTATGAAACAAGTTGAGCCACAATGAGACCAGGGCAGAAACATCTGGCGTAGAGAGCTGTCACTGTTAAGACCAGAGAGGGGACTAAGGAGCACAGGGGAGGAGAAGGGCAGAGAAGAATCAGGGGCTTGCTCCTTCTCTAGAAACAGCAGCCACCAAACCGCTTCTGGCCTCTAGTGTGCATGTAAGAATCTACTCCTGTTTGAAGAGGGAGGGAACGTCGGGAAGGGAAAGGAAGTTATTGCAGAAGAGTAAAGCACAGATGAGAGACGTTCAGAAAAGGCCACCATGCACCAGGACTGACAGGATCTAAACTACATTCGTGTATCGTCCAGAAAACTAACTCCTATACTAAGAGAGCTAAAGGAACAGAAACCCAAAGTTTATCTAACTCCAAAGTCAGTCAACAATATTCTAAATACATGAAATAGTCCTCTAAGACCTCAAAAAGACTTGACAATCAAAACTTTGCTTTTCAAGAATAGAGAGCTGGCTCAGTGATTAAGAGCATGGGCTGTTCTACCACAGGATGTAGATCAGGCTTCCAGCATCCAACAGAGCTCACAAACATCTATACCTCCAGTTCCAATAGATCAAATGAGCTCTTCTGGCAGGTACCAAGTATATACATGGAGCACAGACATACATGTATGCAAAACACCCATGTACGTATAATTGAAACAATATTTAAGACATGTGACATTATACTTCACTTTTACTGGAAGAATCTATGAGCTTAACATTTGACATAAAAGGGAAAAAAGACATCTTATTTTTAATCACAAAAATTAACATGTCTAGAAAATATTGACCTCAGTCATTGTGCTAAACATTGAAAAACATACTTCTGGACCTGTATGACAAGAACTTTAAGTCTCTGAAGAAAGAAATTGAAGAAGACACCAGAAAGTGGAAAGATCCCCCATGCCCTTGGTTAGGTAGAATTAACACAGTAAAAATGGCAATCTTACCAAAAGCAATCTACAGTTTCAATGCAATGCCTATCAAAATTCCAGCAAAATTCTTAATAGATCTTGAAAGAACAACACTCAACTTCACATGGAAAAGAAAAAAAACAGGATAACCAAAATAACCTGTACAATAAAGAACCTTCTGGAGGCATCACAATCCCTGACTTCCAGGGAGGAGGCAGAAATCTTTAATAAATAATTAATAAAAAAAAACAAATAATCCAGTTTTTAAAAAAAAATGGGATCCAGACCTAAACAGAGAACTCTCAACAGATGGATCTAAAATGGCTCAAAGACACTTAAGGAAATGCTCAACATCCTTAGCCATCAGAGAAATGAAAATCAAAACAACTCTGAGATTCTATCTTATGTCTATTAAGAATGGCCAGGATCAAAAACACTGATGACAACTTATGCTGGAGAGGATGTGGATAAAACGGGAACACTCTTCAACTGCTGGTGGGAGTGCAGCCCCTTTGCATATCAATATGGTGATTTTCAGAAAATTAGAAAACAACCCACCTCAAGACCTAGCAATACCATTTTTGGGTATATACCCAAAGGATGCTCAATCGTACCATAAGGACCTGTGCTCAACTATGTTCATAGCAGCATTGTTTGTCATAGCCAGA